TAATAACTCAACAATGTTCCATCACATGAGGACAGTCTAGCCTCCTCCGCAGGCAACTCTATAACTCCTAGATTCTTTTAATTTACGAACGGTTGGGCTTCCTTTGGTGAGAGGCGGGGAGACTGGGGGCGAGAGAAAAAAGAGGAGGAGTTGCCTGCCGAAACTGAACGTTAGTGTGTGGACCGAGCTCTTCACCCTGTGGACTTTGCTCTGCACCCGGGGTACCCCAGGGATAGTTTTCGTACTATATATTTTAGAGGGGTCCACTTAGTATTTCACACGTAACTCAACATGGCGAGTAACAACACTTCTTCTTCTTCGAAAATACCGAGACCGAGATACGTCAAAAGTAAAATACCTGTTATGACTTGTGAGTACAAAGCAACACTTAAAAAAGTAAAACAAAAACACATTGAGATCGAGCAAAAGGAGGCTGAAGTTATAGCTTTAATGAAAGAGAAGTCGAGCATCGTTGAAAGCATGTCAAAAGTGTCACTTGATGGTGAGCCAAAACGCGATACATGTGTTTCTGGCCCTAAATATTCAACAAGCGAAATCAGGAGTATTATACGCACTCCTGGAGGAACAAAAAGGAAAGGTAAGTTTCTTTTGAATCCTTATACTGAATCGCACACCAGCTTATTAAGCTATCTTCTAAATGTGACAGTTCGACCGTCACACGTTAATTTTCAGAAGACTCTGAGTGAATTTCTTGARGAAAATGTGAAGTCATCTTCTCAAAACCTGGATGTTGAAGAACTTTTGAAAAGGTTGGAAATTTGCGAGGCGACCCACGCGATGCCGAAGACACAATTGCTGAACGAAGTTTCGAAGGCCCTGAAGAAGAGTGTCTGCTATCGGGGAAAAAAGAAAGAGTAAGTTAAGTTATAAKATTCCTCTAGTATTGTTTTGTCGATGCTTGAAAAGGTCTGATTTAAATACAATAGAGCGTATTACAAGGGATTAGAGCTCGTATGTGTGGATCAATTCAAGTCACGAGTCGATAATCAAGGTATTTAAAACCACTGTTCTATAATGTAGAGGYATGATGCTAAAATATAATTTTTTTTAATTGCAGTCTCAGTTTCAAATCAAGGAATAGGTACTTCCCCTGCAAGCAAGATACYTAGAGGTATTTAAAAACTTCTTTTATGTAACATCAAGTAACTTTGCTGGAGTGTGATTGCTCACTAGTGGTACACTATTTATGTCAACTCTCTTAGGTATTTTTGGTCAAAATCAAATTTTGTCCATGCTATAAATACATACAAATATAAAACAAAATTTTATCACAAAATTTGCATACAATGAACTTGCTATATCATGTTTATCATGATTTTAGATTCATTAGATTTTAAGCTAATAAAATAATTATTCTTCAGCAAAACTTGGATCAACTAGACCCTGTATGCAGGGTTGACACGTACCCTTTGTTGTGCATGATGTTGNGCAAGATACCTAGAGGTATTTAAAAACTTCTTTTATGTAACATCAAGTAACTTTGCTGGAGTGTGATTGCTCACTAGTGGTACACTATTTATGTCAACTCTCTTAGGTATTTTTGGTCAAAATCAAATTTTGTCCATGCTATAAATACATACAAATATAAAACAAAATTTTATCACAAAATTTGCATACAATGAACTTGCTATATCATGTTTATCATGATTTTAGATTCATTAGATTTTAAGCTAATAAAATAATTATTCTTCAGCAAAACTTGGATCAATTAATAAGTCAGCACTGTCACCTTCATGTGAATCCTTTAAAGGTAAAGATTTAATATAATTGCATATTCCATGCACAATACATAGGCATGTGTATCAATACAGTTTCATCCAGGTGACAAAACAAAAGGTTTTTTGCTCTCTTGGGAACAAAAATCCATTTCTTTGTCCTCCAGATGAATCAGCATTACCACAAACTGCAAGCGGTCAATATGTTGTTCAATTAATTTTGATTTCAATGATAGAAAGCAATAAACAAGATAATGTATCAGACTGTAGAACAAGACTCACATTTGAAGGTAAGGTTACAATCACCACACAATGCTTTAAAATACTACTGGCACATACCTCCTTCTAAATTGTTTTTTTATAAAAGARAGACAAGGTTTGAGTAGCATGTAAMATTGTATATGTAAATTCAGTTACATTGCTATGTCATTAAATTAATTAGAATCTTCTCTACCTTTATAGACTCAAGCAGTAATTTACATGAGGATATGCAAAAACTAGGTACCATTGGATTTTATTTTTATAATAGTATTGTTATATTAGTACTGTATGCTAGCAAAATGCTRCAGCTGTTAAAGCTGGCTAAGCTGTATTTTTGTGTCAAGACAGCTGATTGTGTGCTTACTAGAATTAAGAATGCTTTTTTAATTTYATTTGATTATGTAGAATCTACTTCAAGGTTGTCAAAAGCTACAGAGTCTAGTACTTCCTTATGTACAGATAAACAAGCAGGTACAGTATCCATCAAATTATTCATACATTTACTTTGAAAATGATTACATCGTTGTTGGTAAAATAGATGTTAACTCACATATAATATTTTTAAAGATGCAGGGAAATACTCAAATGCATACGGTTTGTAAATGTATATTTAAATCACTTCATTTTTTTAAATTTAAATAGAATCTACATCGACCCTTCCAAAACAAACACACTCAAGCACTTCTGTATATGAAGGTATGTCTACTCTTGGTATGTATACTGTCCTATGTAGGAGATTGTGGCAGGACACTCTATGTAGCTCTTTTCTTTCTTATTTAATTTAGGGCTAGGATTGGCCTCTATGAAAGAGCAAGATTTGGTGAGAGAGCAGTTTAGAGTATTCTACAATATGATGTTAAAAGTACATACAATGGCAACAACTGAACTTGAGGATGATTTAGAAGAATGTCAATCATCCAATAGGAATTTATTGGGTATTGTCGCATCAATGGAAAAATCACTTCAAGACTATATTAGAGTGACATCAGAAATTATAAGTAATCAAAAAGATGTTATTGACATGTACAAGGACATAACTCAAACTGGAAAACTGTTTGGCGGTCTACTCTCCCTTTCTGAGACAAAAGCAATAAAAGAAGAAATTTCTAAAGCAAAACAGATATTTAATCTTGGCATAAGATCAAAAGAACTTGTGGACATGAGAAAAATTATTAATCCCGGTATTTTCAATAGACTACTTGAAAACCTTAAAGCAGAGTGCCCAACCATTACAAATATTTTGGAAGTACTTATTTTATCACCTAATGCAAGCAGGAACACCAAAAAAACTCCTTTATTCAAGCTGAAAGCTGGCCTTCACTTGTTGGCATCAATTATGGATGTCAGAGATCAGAATGGCAAAAATGACATACCTCTGCTGTTTGGTCTGTTATGCCTATGTTATGGTGCAGGTCCTCAAATGATTGAACTGATGCAACATCTTGGTCTCTCAGAATCACACCATGTTCTGTAAGTGTTGATTATACTGATTTATGTGTTAAAAAACAGTGAGGTGGATTTTAGTCTTTTTTTTTTTTGTTTTAAGTTACATAATTATCAACCCTCAAGATATTCAAATTTTTCTTTCAGTTGCAATGTTTTGATGAAGCAACTTCTTCACTACAAGGAACTTATCAACCAAAGATGCAGTGCAGACAGTCCCATTGTCACTTATCAAGACAACATGCAACTCATGAGGACTTCAATGCGTCACCTTCGTTTATCCAAGTTGCAGAAAGAAAAAATTAAACAGGGTAAAATGTGGGACTTCACTGTACGAGGATGGAGATTGGCTGACACCTGTGGTATTGAGGACCTGTTTAAGGAACCTTCCACAGCAACTGAACCACAGAAAGATGTAGCTACTCTTAAATACAAAGATACCAAAATAGGTGAGCTTATGAGCATTGCATTGTCATTTCTTGTTCGAAAAATGCAGTAAATGAAGTAAGCCAATAGCTATGAAAATACACTTCCTTGTGAATTCAGAAACAACAAAATTATTACATTTTGATAGATAACTATTAATATGCTTTATTCATGTTCCAGAAAGCAACCCTGTGCATCTAAAGAAGTTTGAGGACTTCAAAGACCGCGATCTTCTAAGAAAACTGGATATTGCCCTTAACAAAGTGACTATTAATGGGGGTGAACTTAAGGATGCAGACATTGGTCAACTGAAGCAAATATCCAACTGTGAGTCCCACAAAGGCAAAAAAACCGAAATACATTATAAAAATCCCAGAGGTGCCTATTGAATTTCCCCATCTGGCCGAAGTCCCCTCAAAGATCTATCCACTCCCAATCAGCCAAGAAAATCAATGCAAGACCTTAGGAATGGGGAGGAATTTAGATTTGTTTACTGAAGAATTTGGCTTTGATATTGAAAAAAAGAAAAAATTTCTTCCACTTAAGAAATCCAAACKAGAATTTGATCTGGAGCTTGGATACACACGTTTTTCATTTCTCAAAGCTATGGACAGACATAAAGAGCAACAACAAGTTTTAGAAAGTACTCTGAGAGGCAATGGATTGTTGGACAATGAAAACACAGAACAACTTGTTCTTGTGGATGCAGATTTGTCCGAAAGTGATAGTGACAATGAAACATAAGTTAATTAATAAGCTTACAGAGAAATGTTGAGTTGGTTTGGTATTACTGGTGGAATGTCTCTTAGTGAAATATAAGTTAATGCAATGTAGTCTATTCTCAGTAACTTATTTCAACACAATGTTGCATTGTGTCCTCGAGCTTTGTCTGAAATACTTACGTATTTCATGTTTGTATGAAATAAAGTTAATTTTATTACCTGTATGCTTGAGCTGCTTACTTATCTGTGCTCAAAATGTTTCATGGTAGTCCTGTGTCGCTTTACGTCCGCGGTATGCCATTTTTCGCACCATTTTTTCGCGCCATTTTTTATTGTTTAGGTGATAGTTTCGCTTTACCTAAAATCATGGATGTTCCAGCTTCAGARTGGATTGATCTAGTAAAGAAAATAGGTATACCAGCGATAAACCAGGAAATGGACAAACGCATGAATGCCATTTTTTCTGAGTTACAAGATCTTGCGTCGAATTGTTCAAATGATAGATCACTGTCCGAAAGGTTAAAAATGCAACGAGACGTGTGGCTGCCAGCGCGTGATCAATACTTACGAAATGTTCTCCACTTGGCTGCCATAGATGGTAATTTTATTCTTTTAAGGTGCTTAGTTTATTCTGGGGGTCCAATCAATGACAAAGATGGAATTGGACAAACACCACTGACATTGACTCTTCACAAAGGTCATAAAGTTCTGTCAAAGTGGCTTATAGAAAATGGTTCCACTATCAAGGATAACGATTTTATAGATACAATATCGCCACTAGAAATAGTAGAAACACAGCAAGACTTTGCTACGAAAAAGATTATAGAAGATAAGATTAAGGCAGAGAGCGAAATTGAAGAATACGTCGCGAAGTTTTACACTGCTGGGGCATCACAGGAAGTGACGCGAGATGCTGAAGCTATGGACGTTGAAATCACTAAAAACTTTGCTAGATRTTTGAATATAAATGTCGGGGATCAAAAAAATACAGCTAACATTTTAGGTTGTATTAATCGATGTCCCGACGTATATAACTGTCACACTCCGGGAGGAGGAGACTTCCACAACCGGGGTTACTTAAATGAGTCAATTGCGCGCATCGCCGGACATGGTGGATTTTGGCACGTCGTAGAACACGTTATGAAAAGGCCAACAGTAAACCCAGCGTCRTTTAAAAAGAAATTTAAAGAAAACAATTATAACAACAATGAAGAAGCACTTCTCGATTATGATGATGGGTTGTCCATTGCCATGATCAAGGAATTTCAAAAATCGGAACTATTCCCTTCCGAGGAAGAACTGGCACAATGTAAGAAAAAGACAAAGTCACACAATAAGATTYTGCTACAGAGGTTTAAGGAATGGAAAGAGCTAAACAAGTCCGAAGATCAACAATTCGCATACCAAGCGCAGGTGACGGATGAACTAATGCCTGTTACGAGGTGGTATACTGAGTCTGTCAGAAATGGAAACGGAATTTCCATTGAAGGAGTTTGRATGCTCTGTCCACAGATATACGCACAAGTGGGCAAGACGAATTACCGTGATGAAAGTTTTACCATGAATGTGAACGCCCTATCGAAATGGCCACTCGCCTATCGTAACATGTATCAACAAAACAGAACAGTTAATGTGAATGGAAGAAAGGGGAAACAACTTGCAGGTGACGAATGGGTCGAGGGACATTTAGTAAAACCTGTTAAGCAATACGCCTCTGCACAGACTTCATTCAACATGCTAGAAAAGATGTCATGTTGTGTAGACATTTTGGAGCTCAACAGAAAGATGTACAAAAGCAGAGAAGCCTTTGACATCCATAGGACGCGCAAACATTGTGCTCCGTCTTCTCTGTACGACCAGCTACAAATTGCACAATTTGCACTTAAAGAAGAGTGGTTCAAAAACAAGAAAAGAGAAAGTGCAAAAGCATACTCGTGGGCTAACCATAACTGTAAAGAAGGGGAGAAAGTACCAAACAAATACATGAATGCTCTGGAAAAAGGTGATAATAAAGCATCTGCCGAATTTGTCTCATACAAGCACCGCAAGCATCCAATTGACATGCAGTAATCACTGGATGATGTTTCATTGTACTTTCTTTAAATGGAACCCATCTTGTTTTTCACATTAACTTTCACAGCAGCAGGCAATTATAAATATCGAATTCTAATGGTTTTTTGTCTGATAGCATTGAATTTGTTTGTCAAAGCTAGCAATACAAAAAATGAACATTGAACATTAATCCAAGTAATATATAATGGACATAGCWTAAGTACAAGAATAGTGAATCCAACTGATATACGGTACATTCTCATGATGAGGTGCCAGCAAAAAGACATTTCTGAATATTAATTGATCATTTTAATCTTGATTTTGAGCTTGAGCTTTTTTGAGCTTATGTTACATATCGCATCTAACAAAGCTGAGAATTTTATCTTAATATCATTAGGTTCTGGTCATTATAAACATGACCAGGCCAGTCTGAAAATCAGGCAATAATAAAAAAACAATGTTTGAATTTTTAAACTTCTCTGGTGCAAACAACAATAGCAATGACTTTAWTTTTTTACAAACATGTCAAAATAACAAGTTTGAGGCATCAAGAGATACGTTTGTAAACCCAGCTTACAGTAGAAATATAAATTCAGTATTTTGCACAAATTCTGTTAAGGTATAGGTATTGTGGGTATTTTCCACTATAAAAGTGCCTGAAAATTTTCTTTGAAGTAAAACACAGAATATCTTTCCAGATGTGGTATTCCAAGAGCCCATTTGAACTACTGAAAAGCCTTTCACATTGTCTTTGTTATTCAGATTTTTACAATTGATGCCACAATGCAAATTGACAATATATGTAAGAGTTAGTTACCGAGAACGGAGGCATTACGCTATATACAGCCCGAGGGCCGCAGGCCCGAGGGCTGTATATAGCGTAATGCCGACGTGCGAGGTAACTAACAAACTTAGTTTTCAATTCACGCGGTTTTCGCAAAAACTGAATAGACTAAATGAATGTTTTTTTAGTTGGGAGACAAACAATAGAATCCTGTCCTCTTGAGGTTTTTCCATGGCCTAGTTTACTAAGACTAAATTGTTCATGCAATAGTGTGCAATCGTAATTTGAATAGAACTCTATGCGTGATAACTAACAAACTCTAGTTTTCAATTCACGTGATTTTCGCAAAAACTGAATAGGCTAAATGAATGTTTTTTTAGTTTGGAGACAAACAATAGAATCTTGTACTCTTGAGAGTTTTCCATGGCTCAGATATTAGTTTACTTTAATACTAAAACTGCTTGACCATGCGAGAGAATGCAATCGTAATTTGAATATGGTTKTCAAATATTCTTAACATTCATTCATTCTGGTAACTATGTCGAACAGAGAGGACGATTTTCTTTTTTCTTTGCCGAACTTCGACATTGAAGATTTATTTTCGGATTTCGAACTACCTCCGCCCGCAGATACGTCGACAGAAGAGAAAAAGAAGAGAAACATAACAGTAGTTTCGGATGCCGAACTTGCTAACAGAAACGAGGAAAGGATACCTGATGGAACGAAATGGAGTACTAATTGGTGTGTTCGTACGTGGACAGAGTGGGCCGAGGAGCGTAGAAATGCCAACGCAACTATTACGTCTGATTTATACACGGTGGTCAATCCCGATGTATCGAGTCTGAGCAAAGAAGAACTTGCGTATTGGCTCAGTAAGTTTGTAGTGGAGGTGAGGAAAAAGAAACCACTTGGAGAACCATATCCACCTAACACTTTGTACCAGCTTTGTTGTGGAATTYAGCGACACTTAAGAGAAAATGGGCAACCAGAACTTAATGTGTTCGAGAATCCATCTTTCAAGCTGTTTCAAAATTCTTTAGATGCGGAAATGAAGCGTTTAACCTCAGAAGGAGTTGGTGCAATTGTAAAGCAAGCCGAATCGTTCACTGGAGAACAAGAAGAAAAGTTGTGGAGCTTGCATTTATTAGGATCTGAATCTCCACAAGTTTTGTTAGATACACTGGTCTTTCTAATTGGGAAAAATTTTGCATTAAGGAGTGGAAAGGAGCATCGTAACCTTCAGTTTAATCAGCTCAAACTGGTGCCAGCCAAAGAAAACGAGCCAGAAAAACTAGTTTACTGCTCATTTGGAGAAAAGAACAACTCAGGAGGTTTGAAGCATCCAGCTTTCAAGGGAAAAAAGGTGGAACATTACGCGAGCGAAGAAAATCCCGAAAGGTGCTTGGTCTGGTTGTACAAAAAGTACGTGGAAAAATGTCCAAAGTCTGCCCTTGAGAAGAAAATGTTTTATCTTTMTCCAAGSCGAAAGTGGAGTGTGAAAGATAAAGGTATATGCAGTCTTGTATTCTAATTYATTTATTGTTTTTGAGCGAACTTGTACTTATGCRTGTTTTTATCWTGTTGGTCAACAGAGTGGTTTACGGCAAACCCAGTTGGGCATAACCCTTTGGGCAATACTGTTCGGAGGTTATGTCAGAAAGCCGGAATCGAAGGGCATTTCACGAACCACAGCTTGCRAGCGACATCAGCTACACGAGGTCTTGAAGCAGGCGTTCCTGAGAAGCTCATTATGGAAGTAACTGGACATAGGGACCCWAGATCATTACAACGATATCAGCGACCAAGCGTAGAGGTAAAGAAAGCTATATCTAAGTGTTTCAAAAGTGGTAGTTTGTCTTTTGCTGAACAGATCAAGAAAAGGAAAAGCGCGGAGGAATCAAGGGAAGAGACAAAGAAACGAGTACACTTGGAAGAAACTGAAAGCCAAAGATGCACCATGCATTTTGAAAATTGCACATTTCGCTTTAATTAGTTCAATCAATTTATAACTTTAATGATTTTGGAACTAAAAATTTAACTCTTTATTGCATTGTTAATCCTTTATGCTACTACGATTAAAATGCGGAGGATTTCTAATGATTTTGTATTTCAGTAATTTAGCTTAGTTTACTACAAGTATATTTTATTTGGTATTTAGCTGGGAAATGGTGGGGTTG